CTCTCATTTGAACATGGAAGTTAATGGTCAAATAACTCAGAAAATGGTAACATAATGAGCTCTCTAGTGGAGGATTTTATTTTTAAAAAGAGCCTATGTGTGCAGTTTCTGATCTAGATTGGGACTTTGGGAGATGTTATCTTTATCTATTTGGCTCTTGCGATGTCCTTACACGTACCTGGCTCTTACCACCCATTTTTGCAGCTCCTTATGGTCAAGAAGCAGGAATGCAGTGTTTCTATTTACAATATCCAAGCACATATCCTTAATTCCACTAATCTTATTAGCAATAGTTATAAAAACAACCACCAGAGAGCACCACCATCCTCTTAAAAAAGCAAATTGAAGGACAAAGGGTCAAGTTAAAACCAGTGTCCTATTTAAATAGAATATATTTATATTAGTGTAAATGATTTGGGCTGCAATTCTGTGCATACTAAGGATTATCTCCACTTAAATCAATTGGCTTTACCTTTAGATAGCTGAATTAGCAATGCATACTGTAGGGTAGTTATATATCTCCAAGTCCTTTTAAGTATAAACAGAATTCAGCTCTACGGTACTTATTCCTATGTAACCATAATCCTATAATCCAGTGATATGAAATACAGAGCACTGAAACAAGTAATAAGTATACAAAAATAGTTCTGTATGCAAGAAGAAACAAATATACACATTAGCAGAAATAATTATAATAGAAAAACAAAGCAGTCATGCCTCATATAATTGGCAGCCTTTAATAATGACACATTGCAGTATATTGTTTTATTGGTGAATAATCTTGTAATACCTAACATGTAATAAACTACTGAACTATTGAAAGAATCTTTTATAAATAGAAAATGGATTATTTTTCCCCCCACCAAATTCTCTAATAATATATTAGGTACTCTCAGGGGAGGAACAGTCTGCCTGTACTTTAAAGCTACTTATTCCAGCTTTTTTCATCATAATCCTTTCTTTAACACAGCTATTAACATTTCACACATACCCACAGAAATACAAAGAGCAAGGGTTTAAAATAGTGAATATGTAGACTTGTACAACTTTACAGTAATCAAAGTATTCCATTACATTATTGTTGTGTTTTAATAATCAAGCGGTAAACGGCATTGCCAAACAATATTCTTAAATAAATATTGGATAATTTGCGGTATCCTCACAAGTATGAATGATTAGTATGCATCATTTTAAACATCAGATTTTAAGAAAATTATTTAATATCAAGAAAAACTCTATATATAAAAAAATCAGATACAAAAAGCTTACATGTGATAAATTTAATTAATTAATTAATTAATTAATTTTATCAAATTTATATGCTGCCCTTCTCCCGTAGGACTCGGGGCGGCTCACAGAATAGAAACAACATAACAATAAAATAGTGCTAAAACAAGCCAATTTAAAATCCCCAGACAATTAAAACCTCACGGCAGATCAGGGAATATGCTGAAAAAGCCATGTCTTCAGGTCGGCGCGGAAAGTGTGGAGGTCGGGGGCCGTCCGGAGCCCAGTGGGTAACCCATTCCAGAGGGTCGGTGCGATCACAGAGAACGCCCTCATCCTGGGGGCCGCCAGCTGACATTGTCTGGCCAACGGCACCCGGAGGAGGGCAGGCCTATGTGAGCGCACTGGGCGGTGTGCTTCTTGACACATTAAGGAAAATGTGTCAGGAAGACTATCTGAACAGACTGCAGAACTATATTTTATCTACTTTGTGTAACTTTATAAATTAATTAGCTTTATGTTCAATGCCTGTCCCTAGAATTTTAATGTGAAATCTTATAGCTGCCTTTCCTATTTATACCACCAGAAGCTTTAAAATGTATAGATTTTTTAATAATAAGGTGTTATTAGTTTTGGTAGTAAATATTATGCCTTTAGTTTGGATTCAGACATTTTTATGTCAAGTACTTAGCTTGCATGTGGAATTCTCCATCCCCACCCCCCTCTGCTGGTGGTGGCTCCATTCACATAACTTTATATCACAGGTTTCCCAGACCTTTGAGAATTGTGGAAAACTTAAAATTGGGAGACAAAAACCAGTATTTAGGTCTATATCAGCAGAGGTGCCTTAGGCTCACACTAAGGGGTTTGGGCAGCAAGTATTTAATGAGAAAAATGAAATGGAATCTGTAATACTGGTGCTTTAAAAAAGTTCTGTATACAATCAGATTATCTCAATAGCAGTTTATAACATGTAAGGAAATGATATTTACTGGCGAATTGTGTTTGCTTTGATATAAGCACACATGGGTTTAGAATATTCTACAAATGCAGTAACAGCAGCTTCTGATCTTCTGCAGAGGCTCTGTGCACTAAATCAGGGATCTCCAATTTGGCAACTTTATGACATGTGGACTTCAACTCCCAGAATTGAAGTCTGGGAGTTGACGTCCACAAGTCGTAAAGTTGCCAAGGTTGGAGACCCCTGCACTAAACTGAAGCCATTTGATAATAATTGCAAATTAGCCACAGCTACAGAATTCATACAGAGGGAATGGTTTACTTTGCCACCAGTCCAGGTGGTAGTATTTTCTGTACTCTGCTAAGCTTAAACCAGCCTTTAAGTTTATTCAGTTTTAGTTTATTGAACCTATATGCTAGACTCATGTAAATTTTGTGCAATAAGAGGCTCCATTTATATATTGTTTATTAGAATTAGAGCAGGGGTGTCAAACCTATGGCGTCATGGCAGCGTCACGTGACATATTGGGACTTTTTTCCTCTCTGCTAAACTGGGTGTGGCCATGGCCAGCAAGTGATGCATCTGGCCCATGGGCCGGGAGTTTGACAGCCCTGAATTAGAGAGTGCCTGATGACATATTGACTCTGGGTGTCTTACAATTAAACAAAAAACAATGAGGAGAAAATCCTGTGCATTCAAATATATCCTATGTACCAGAACCCACTAACAACTAGGACTCTAACTACCATATGCTATTTTGATTTTTAAGAAGACTTCATTTTCCTAATAATTATATTATCTGAAGGTTTAAATAGTTTGATTTTGAACTATGTATTGTATATAGTTGATTCTATGTTCCCTGCTCCTCCAAGCTCCAGAGTCTACTGGAATTAGGCAGCCGATAAATGTAAGTTAATTAATTAAAATAATTCAAAAATCAGATTAGTAGCATAGGACCTAGTTCTCAATATTTTCATTATAAACTGATAATGAGCCCTATCACATGTTTGGCAGTCACTTTCTCCTAGTAAATCAGGCTAACAAATCTGGGCTCCAAGAATTCAGATGATCAACAGATGGCAGCAAAAAGAAACATAAAACTCATTGTTTCTGTCTAGCGGTCATCCATATTTTGCATGCCAAATTTAGTAGCTTTAAATCAAGGGTTTCCAAGTTGGTATGCATGATGATGTGTCCAGGGGGACATGATAATGCATTTTTTAAAGAAAAAAAAAAATAGATCGGCAACATTTGTGAGGGTGGGCAAATTGATGGGAAGATGAAAGGGAGGGAGGGAAGATGCTGTGGAGTTTGGTGAGTGTTAGTAGATGTCTGTGCCTGAATGGGCCCCTGAAAAGATTGGCAACAGATTGCTTGGAGAAAGTTAATTGTATATAATGGTTTGTATCAGTGTGTAATAGTTGCTGAGGCTTTCTGAAGCATCTTAATAAAGCTGCCTGCAATTTGGAGAAAGGCAAATTTGACTTTGGGAAGAAGGCCTGAGGTATCCAGAAGCTGCCTCATATAAAACTATCCTGGGCATGCTGTGTAGACAACACAGAGGAAGACAACAACAAAGGTCAGCTGGGTGCATCAGGACCAGTGAAGCACAGGGTGGTGGAGGCAGCTGGGACATTGTGCTGTGGCACTAGAATGCTTGGCTGTGGCAGCACTGGGGATGAAGTAGAGGCCTTGGATTGGGGGTGGCTGGCTGAGACTGCTGGGCCTTTATTTCAGCACCAGTACCAATTGCTGGTGCTATAGCCGAGGAGTGCTACTGTGTAATGGGGCCAAAAGGGCATCCTTTCCACCCATCCTTTTCCCAGATGGGTGGGGAAAATAGATTAAGTGGGGGGGGATTCAAGATGAGGCAGTCCCTTACTTTACTGAAGCTCGGAGCCAGGAGAGACCAAGAGGGGAATGGCTTGGATCGGAGTGCGTCCTCACATAATGACTGATGGGATTCAGTTACAAATGGCAATGGGGACTCCTGGGATTTCCATCGTTAAGCAATGCAATACCGTGATGTTTCACTTTATAATGGCATTGCTTAGCAATGGAAATTCCAGCTCCAATTATCACTGCTGATAATTACCTGTATGCATCATTCAGAAGTTCAGAACTGCACAAAATGGATGATTCTATTTATTTTGGAAGTTGTGGTGCAGTGGTTAGAATGCTAACTCTGCCCACAGCCTGGAGTTTGATCCTGACAAGATTGACTCAGCCTTCCATCCTTCTGAGGTCAGTAAAATGAGGACCCAGATTATTGGGGGCAGTATGCTGACATTTGTAAACTGCTCAGACACTGCTATAAAGCACTATGGAGCGATATATGTGTAAGTGCTATTGTTATTCCTCAGCAGAGAAATTGCTTATTGTAATTTTTGCAAATGTTAGAGAAACGAAAATATTTTCAATTCACTTAATGGCCTATCAACAAGTCCTGTGAATCTAGGGTTTAGTGTTGAAAGGGTGAAGCTATTTATGGAGTTATCAGCAAATGGGTTGGGTTGTGAAGCCTAAAAAGCCTTTTCCTTACAAACATGGTATCTCAGCATGACTGCATTTGAAGACTTTTCCAAGCTGAATTGATGTAAACCTAAATTGCCTGTCACACTTTATTTTATTTATTTATTTATTTATTTTGAATTTGTATACACATGAGATTTGTGGCAGAAAATCTGGGCAGTGGGAAAGAAAATGGCATAGAAGCAGGATGGCCTCACTTTCACATGGGCTTCTCCTGTATCAGAAACACGGAAGAGGAAAAATCCACTCATTTTATAAAAGTTGCAATAATCCTCCCCATTTTTTTTTCTTTTAGCACTGCTTTGCAGCCATCATTGCATAATGGGAAGCAGTATGTCTGGGAACAGACACATAGTATATGTAGATGACCAGATTGAGTCTGAGGGAGAGGTCAAACATGTCATCAGTCATGAATCCCTTCATGGCCACAAGAAACCTAAGTCCAACCCACTGTGAATTCCTTATTTACCACCAAATTGCTTTAACGGTTAGTAGTTCAGATTCTTGTAGAGAGCTTAAGCTTGCAATAAATCTTTATATTCATTTGTCTGGATGTCCCTGGCACTTGACGGATAATTGCTATTTAGTGGGCCTCAGTAGCAAGATGCGGGTTTGTACTGATTTTTCTAGGAAAATTTAACATAGAAGCAAGATCACAGATAACTCTTTTTCTTTGTACAAATGACCAGGCTCTATTTCAGTATGTTCAAATTCTTTTCCTTCTGCCTAGATATGGGATCAAACCACCTGGATTGCTGTGACAGATACAAATACCTTTACCTTGTGAACAGTTCTGGCTTTAAATATGCTTGCAGGTCAATTTAAGCCCTTCATGGCATCATGGGCAGGTTATTTGAGGAAACCTCACTCTCCAATGGTCTCAACATCAGGCGTGGCAGGAAGGTAATGCTCCAGCTCCTGTCAATTAGGAAATCCCATCTTGTAAGACTCAGTAATGAAATGGCACTTGTCACTCAAGGTCAGTTTGGTCTTGGACCTGCTAGCCATTTGGAAAGCCCTTAAGATTTGTCTGCTTTCCTGGTTTGGAGGTTGAGAAATTAGGTGAACCCATAATATTATATTGGTTTAGTCCATTGCCATTTTATGTTCTTTTGTTCAGGATGCTTATTATTTTAATATTCTGTATTGATATATTATATGTTAGCCATCCAAAGTCATGTTTGCAAGATGGACTGGCCATACATCAATTTAAATAAATAATAGATGACTTATATAAGGTGGGAATGCTGACTTATTCATTTATTTCAATATCAGATGAAGTGGAAAAAGTTAACTCTTAACTCAGTCAATTTACAGTTGAGGATTTTTTTTTTCTATATGAAGATGTTCAACCCATCTTGGAAGGAATCATGTTTTTTTCTAAAAGATCAAATGTGAAATCAACTTAACCAGCTATATTTGTGAGATGAAAATAGCTAGTCCTTGACTTACAACCATGTTTAGTAATTGTTAGAAGTTACAGTGGCACTAAAAAAGCGATTTATGACCATTTTTCATACTTATGACCCTTGTAGCAACCCCCTGGTCATGTGTTCAAAATTCAAATGCTTTGCAACTGATTTATATTTATGACGATTGCGTCATAAATATAGTGTCCCGGGGTTATGTGATCACTTTTTGCAACCTTCTGACAAGCAAAGTCAATGGGGAAGCCAGATTCACTTAACAACTCTGTTACTAACTTAACAACTGCAGTGATTCACTTAACAACTGTGGCAAGAAACATCATAAAATGGGGCAAAGCTCACTTAACAACTGTCTTGCTTAGCTACATAAATTTTGGCCTCAATTGTGGTGTAGGTTGAGGAATACATGTAGTGCAGAAATTGGCCATTTTCTGAGAAACAGCAGAGGACCAATGTGATAACAAAGTGCACAATTCATTCACCTTGCTCACATGTTGCTTAAAATAGGCACCATGTGGATGACACAATGACTCTACGATAAGAGCAGTGCATGAGTACATGACCTCCAATGTTGACTTCATCTTTGCAAGGGCCGATGTTAAGTTACAATATCTGTCCTTTAATACACCGGCCCCTAACCTTTTGGGCGCCAGGGACCTGATCCATAGAGGGTGATTTAGTGCTTTCGCACGCTGCCTGGATCCCACACGTGCACAGATGGGGCTTTGCTCGCTTGTGCGGTTTGGTTCCTGGTGGGCCACAGACCGGTGTTGGTCCATGGCCTGGGGGTTGGGGATCCCTGCTTTAAGAGATAATGGTAGTAGATTGTGCCAGCATAAAAGCTCTGTTTGTTCATAGATATGCATTTATAAAGAAAATGTGCAAAAGTGAGTTTTTTTCCTGCAGCTATCAAGCAAAGCAGGAATGGTGAATTAAACAATGGGACTCTCACTGCAGCTGAAACCAAACCTGTCTCCAGATACAAAACTGCATTTCATACATAGGATTGCAAAGATGGCCCTTAGGAATTCTGACTGAACCACCTCAGATAGACTTATTTCTGTAAATGTGTACCTGGGCTCATACCACAGCAGCCAAGCCATCTGATATAAGCCACAAATGCATCTCACTTACAGGTGAAATATGTGATGACTGCTAAAGCGAATAAAATGAAGAATGACAGGAAAATATATAGAACAATTTTGATATTAAAACAGAATAAATCTCCAATTTTCCACTTTGTTTTCTCACTCTGCATAATTTTTATTTATTTATTTATTATATTTCTATACCACCTTTCTCCCGTAGGACTCAAGGCGGTGTACAGTCAAGAAAAATATAGACACACAAACATCATAAAATTGCTAATTAAAATTATTACTTAGTTTGGTCAATTAAATAAAACCCAGAATTAGATAACATTTAACATTATAACATAATACCGGATGGCTAGTCAGCACAAATCTGTAGAGCTGAGAGAAAAGAGAAGCTGTATCTCACTGAAAAAAGAAGAAAATAAGCATAACAGCAGGCTATAAATTTTCCCCAGGAATGCTTCTCTTTCAATCTCTGCGAGTCATTTCTTTTCTACTGCTCTGAGTTTTGAGAAGGATGTCTTGTACAAAGCCTTCAAGTACATGATCTTACATAGCAGAAGAGGAAGGAAGGAAAAGAAAGAAAAAAGAAAAAAAAAGAAAAAGAAAGAAAAAGAATGAAAGAGAAAGAAAGAAAGAAAAAAAAAAGAAAAAGAAAAAGAAAGAAAAAGAAAGGAGAAAGAAAAAGATCTGCCTTCTGGGCTTTCTTTCTGAGTGCCTCAGCTGAGGGAAGTATGAATAAAAGATGATGTACTGTATTTTACCGTTGCGGGGGAAGACAACTTGGCTCAGCCGTCCCGCTCACCTGCTGAAATCCTTAAGTTACAGCGAGGCAAGCGCGGGCGGGGAGTGGGGGGGGGGGGGGAAAGAGGGGCCAGGAGAATTCCCGCGAACACTACTCTGGTGAACGGCGGAGACTCATTGGAGGAAGGCAGCTAATCTCACTCCTCCCCTTTTCCTGGGCGAAACGCCGGCCTTCGAGGGGGAGGACCCGAGAGAGCAGGAACTTCACGGAGCGCCTCTGCCTTTTTTCATGTCGGCGGCAGAACCATTATGCTCTCGCTCCCATCATGAGCCGCTGGTCTACTTCCCAAGGAGTCGTCCTAACAGCGTATCATCCCAGCAGCGGTAGCCGCCGACGCCGCTGCCTCCAGGACGGCCAAGAGGCACCGGGAGCCGATGCCGAGGAAAATGCCGAGACGTCCCCCTTAAGGTAAAGGGCTGGCGCTCCCACACGACCTCGCTTGAAAAGGGGAAGATTGCTAGCCGGGCGTCCGGGTGGCGTAAAACCCGGGGCTCGCCTACCTGTTGACGTAGGCGGGCTGCTTGGAGCCAGGTACCACGGACTTAGCCGCCGTGTGCCGTGAATCATATGACCAAAGTTTAAATGTCAGAAGAAAGTTGGAAGAGCAACCTTGAGGGTTGGTGCTGCTGGACCCTGTAGGCGAGCGTGCAACAAATGTGCGTTGGGAATAGCCTCTGCTCTGTTGCTTACTAAATAATATTGCATGCAGAAGTAACGCGTAATCAAACACGCTAAACCGCCTTCAAAGATGGTCCGCGGGCCATAAAGCTTTATTTGGCACCGAAAATGAGGCAGCTGAGGAAGCTTTGGGTTCGCATGTGTCCGCAACAGCCGTCGTAACACATTCTTTCTCCGTTTGATAGTTAACCCCCAGGTCCGCATGCCGAGTGTTTCCAGATGTATTTCCCCCACTTATATTACAGTAATTCTACAAACCACAAAATAGTTTCCTGTAACCAAGGGGATTCAGCAATATAGCGGGTGAGCAAGTATTAAGAGTGTGTGCTAGTCTACTCCCTTTCTCCCCACAGGGGAAAAAAGCAATTTCCTAGATTACATTAAAATGCAATTTAGTTGTATCAAAAAGTTAAATAAGATTCCTTTTAAAGTGCAAGCTTTATTTTTTTTAATCAATAGCATGACTAATAGGCTGTTGCTTAAAATCCCTTTCACATAGATTTCAGAGGTGCAGTAGACTTTCCTGGTATGTGTACTTTGCTTCACACAGCTCCTCCCCTTGCCACTTTATTTTTCCATAATGATCTCAGTTTTTTCTTTCTTCCTGTCTCTGAATTGATAGTGGATGAGAAATACTGATTGCATAAATTTTGTTCAGAAAAGAAAACTTGCTTCAGAGACAGATAAATTAATCCAGTTGTTGCAAGATATTTGGGAGGAAAAGGGCTGGCATGATTTAAATATCACAGGTGTCATCAGGATTGGGATATAATCAATTCTGTTACGGAGAGTTAGTTTGCGCTCTGCGTAATATTGGTACTGTGCAATGTTCTGTATTTTTTTAAGCTTCAAAAAGATGGACTTGATATGAAGTTGTTTATTCCAGTTTAGTTGTCATCTTTGAATGATGCCTGCAGAAGAGTTAGAAAAGTACAGGATCAGATCTGGATTGACAGATATGGTGGTCTGATTACAATTGACTCCAGAATTTCTGCCATATAATATTATGGTTGTTGTGAAGGTCACCATGTAACCTGACTCAATTTTACAATTGTTTTTACAATGGTCATGAAGTGAATCACTAGGGCCGTTAAGCAAATCACATGGTTATGAAAGAAATCCATTGTTCCAAATGGTGTTGGTTGCCAGAAATTGGCAAAAAAAATGCTAGAAACTGGCAAAAACATAGCAAAGTGCAGCCATGTGATTGTGCGACATTGCAACCAGGCACTAGGCTAGAAAGCAGGAGACCATGAGTTCTAGTTCCACTTAGGCACAAATAACGGGGTGCCTTGGGCCTTCTCTCAGTCCCAGGAAGGAAGCAGTGGCAAACCACTTCTGAAAACACCTTACCAGAAAAATTGCAGGGACTTGTCCAGGCAGTCACCAGAAGTCAACAATGATTTGAGGACATCCAAAATGAAATAATATATATAAGGCCAGAATTGTATACTTTTAAAGCTTTTTAAAGATATTTCTTGCTTGAAGCTACTCCCATATAATTTCTTCATTTTTATGGCATAAACACTTGAATACACAAACATATTCAAATTCTCTCCGTGAGTTCACTCTTTTATGTACTAAAAATAATGTGCATAGAGTCTGTACCAATTTAAAGCTAAAATTAAGGCTTTTCCAGTCATTTCAATGACTTCGTCATTCCCAAGACAGAATGAAATTGGAAGACATTTACTTCAAGGATACTAAGCTATAATGGAAAAAAAATCTCAAAAAATACTTAAATATTTCCATATTTTCTTTTACATTATAACTGCAGATGTATATTTAAGACTGCCTCTAAAAATAAGTGGAGACATTAGCATGAGTCTTTTCAGTGCCTCAATAATTTTTCAGGAAAGAAATTATTTCTTTGTGGTATGGGTTTTTTCTGGTGTGTCCAACTTTTGGTTTGGAACCAGGATGGCAGTATGAAGGAAATGACTGATATACTTGATGAAGTCAGCATTTGCATTGTTAAGGAGAAATTTAGACCTGAGCATCCGAAATTCACAAGCTTGCCAAAGTGTAATATTCTTTAGGATAGGAAGGAAGTGAAGGATCCCAAATGTGCTCCTGAGCTGCTGCATACTGTTTTCCAAGTTATCTTCCCACTCCAGATATAGATAATTGGCTTCCATCCCTGAAACTTATTAGTTGTGAGTTCCATCTGTCTCTTCTTACAAACTTGAGTTACAGCAAAGCAAGATGTCACTTTGATATAAAAAGTTGATGA